CGATAGGTTGCTTCCAATGTTTACTAATACCTTGTACCAAAAACAGTAGAGCATGATTTGCTACCTCATTTTGTCTACCCAGGGACCCAAGATCGACATATCCCGTTACTTGATCTTTGCAAGTGTCATAATTTAGACTAACAGACAGAGCTATTTCATCAAATACTAAACAACAAACTTTATCTCTTGTAATCATTTTACTAACACGTTCTGATAATTTACGTAACAACTTTTCATTTATCCCAACATTTAAAGGTATTTGGCCTAAATATTTCCTTATGGAAGATTTAGAGGGCAGCACAAAAAATTTTTGTAAAAACCTGTAGCACCTTGGCCCACGTTTGTAAATCGCTAGAGCNCCATTTTTACAAGATGGCGGCCGACGCTCAAGGGTTGCGACCCCACAAACATGGATTTAACTTCACACTAACCCCCTCTTGACATCCCAAAAATAAAATTGCTTGCTCTGACTTTTGCACGCTAAGCCCAAAAAAATTTAACATTTCAATGGACTAGAAGTAATATCTGTGAAAGGAATCCATTTGGCCAAGATAACCTTGGAGACAACCACTTTCGAACAAAACGTCCTAGTAGCAGATATCACCGATGACGTCATTCTTGGGCTTAATGACATGATAGAAAACAAGTTCGTGTTGGACCTCCCTCAAAGACTATTGAAGACTAAAGATGAAGAGATTTTAATGCAGTTTCCCGAAATACAGAACCTTCCTACCAGAACAGTTGAGGCGTCAGAAGACATCGAACTCCCAGCGGGTTCAGAAGTAGTAATTGAGGCCATTTGTAGCAATCCAACTGACACTAAAGAAACTGTAATTGNAATAGGTGAACTTGTAGTTGATCTTAAAAATAATGTCGGCACGGCATTTCTGTTGAGGCTATTCCTACAACTGTTTTTAAAACATTTTAACTCAAAATGGTCTTCACAAAAATAATGATCTGTGTTTGTCGGAGCAAAGTCTGATTTACATAATTTTCGAACTGATTCTATCCACAGTAATTGTCTGTCTTTTGTAATTTTGAAAAAACTTTTATTTCTATAGGACGCATTACAGACATTCATATAGTAAGTGCTTTTGCAACTTGGAGCACAACATTTACGTGTAGTTCTACCAGTAAGTAAACTCATTTTGAATAAAAAAAGAATAAAAATACAGTAAGGCAGTTCAGATGACTAATTCAATAAATCCCTTATTACATTAATCTAAAACAAAACAGATTTATTAATGCACAAAACGCGGCAACCTACCTGAACTGAAGATAAACTATAACCTCAAACCTCCAACATTCTACGTTGATTGAAATATTTTAGTCAACGCATTCTATTTCTGTTGATTGGAAGCTTGGAAATACAGATTCGATCTGTGGTTGCAGATTTCTATTTAACAATTCCCATAAAGGACAATGTTTTGCTACAACAACGTGAGATGGTCTCAGTGAATGCATGTTCGATCCGCCCTATCCAATAAAAGCCTCTTATTTAGTTACTCTTACGGGTATGGCTAAATACATGTGGGAATAAGTTTTTCAAATATTTCAATGCCGAGTTGCTGCTTAGCGACCGAGCCTGGTACATACCTTGAAAATATTAGTTCTTCAATTGACTTCGGAAAAACTATGCACATGACAAATGTTTCTTTAAATATTCCTAAATCTATATAGTATGTTTTACACCAATTGTGCACACGCCGATCCTTGCTTTTTTACCAATGCAGAAAAGATGTGAATTTGAATTTGTGGAAATGGAAATGAACTCAACTGGTATGGTCATTGCAACAAGTGCCACGTGCATTTTGTTGTTGCGCCATTTGTAGAGCTTTGGCGAATATTTGACAAGTGAATATATGTTTTCGAATGTATCGAAATCGCTTTATAAGAACATATGCATACCAATGAAATAAGTACAAAACTCATTTTGATACTGTCAGCAGTTAACTTAACAATAATTTTTGTTCTAAAATATTTGCTCCTCGACTGAAATTTTTTGTACTTTTACTATCCCGACGTCTATGTACATCACATACATTGCACAAGTATGTCGGTGTGCCTCTTAGGTTCAAAGATTAATATTTAAAAACAAAGTAACTCTTATTAATTAGTTACATTAATTTATTGGTTCTAAATTTGTTCAGATAAAATATTATAAAATATTAATATATAGGTATGTTGTCATTTTTAAGCTATTATCTTCGTAATCCCCAATATAATAGAATTTTAGTCGTTTGCACTAAACATCTACTCTCAAATTATCATCTCTAAATACCAAAAGAATTGGAGCAGATCAGATTTTAAGACTCTTTCTCTCGATATTTTAGGAAAAAAATTAATATACAAAAATATGCTTAATTTCTAAATTATAAGTATGTACATAATAGAACAAATAAATTAATATTATCTACTTATTTTAAGCTTAAATGCTTCTTTGTAACTTTGGAAACTTACTGCACAATGCACAGGTGTCAAATACTATTGGAATTATCAGTTTAGTCGCAACTATGTACTACTTCAATACAAAATACTTCAATGCAAAACCAAGCTACCCAAAACTATATGTTACAGGGTGATCCATTAACAGTATCAAGCAGATGTATATAGGAAACTAGACGTGCTACGATTATGGGGTAAAAAATCTATTAACAAATATGACCAAAATAAATTGAAAGTTTGTAACTTCACCGCTAGGGAGCGCAACTGCTATAGTGTTACAGAAAATTGTCGGTTTTTCGAAATTTCTCTTATATAACCTAAGTTGAAAATACATTTTTTAGATACACTATTAAACCCTTCATAAGTTTTGTTTGAACTTTTTTTGTTTGTTATTACCATAGCAACGTCAATATGAAGGACGCTATCTTGAAATTTTTAAATTGTCATAACTTCTAAATGCCTTAATCGATTTCAATAAACGATGGCTCATTTTTAAGAACTATTAATAAAATTTATATTTATGATATAGGAATAAAAATATTATTTTCCTGCACAACGGTAGACGACGCTAATGAGAAAAGTTTTGTAATTGTCTCCGTTTACTAAAAAATTAAATGCAACGGTATAAGTTACAGGGCTTGATAGACCATTCATTATGGAAAACAAATACACAAACCGGAGGTCGATATCTTTTTTCGTTTTCAAGTTATTGCTAAAATAGTGAGGTTGTGCTAGAACATCCTCCTTTATTTAGTTCTCTAAATAACATTCACATAATCCAAGCCAAAATTAAATTGTAAACTATACCAATCTTGTCCTTAAAAAGAATTATTGCTTTATTTTGAAATTCTTTTGATAACAGCAATATTTCATTTTTTATTAATTCCAAATATCCGAGTAGTTATAAAGATTATTGCTTCCACAACGAAGGAGGCTTTGTCCTATAAAAATAGACAAATAAAAAATTATGTCAAACGATATGTGACAGCTCTTGCTTCGTGCAAAATTATTGTCATTCCTGTGAGAAAAGTACTTGTGTTCCATATGAAATTTCCAGATCTCTAACTAATTCCCTTAGACTTATTTGGAGATTTACATGGACACAAGCCAACATATTAATAATATAATCTTCCGTTCTTTCACGGCGATGTCTTCTTATAGAATGTAGCGGCGTCTGGATAAACGCTGAAATACTTCTCTGGAGTAGCGTATTCTACGAGGGTGTCTCAAAGCGTATTCTCTTGAAGCTATAACGGCATTTTTCAAACATTGAAAATAAACTGCCAACATATCATACGCTTCCACATTCTTAAAAGGCATATTCCTTGTTCACAAGTACTTTTCCAGCACAAATAACACTAATTTTGAACATAGCAAGAGCTGTCACATTTCCTTTGGTATAATTTTTCAGTTGTCTCGTTATGGAAACAATAATCTTTATAATTACTCAGATATTTGGAATTAATAAAAAAATTAAACATTGTAGTTATCAAAAGTATTTCAAAATAAAGCAATAATTCTTTTTAAGGACAAGATTGGTATAGTTTTACAATTTAATTTTGGCTTGGATTATGTCAATGTTATTTAGAGAACTAAATAAAGGAGGATGTTCTACCACAACCTCACTATTTTAGCAATAACTTGAAAGAGAAAAAAGATATCGACCTCCGGTTTGTGTATTTGTTTTCCATAATGAATGGTCTATCAATCCATGAAAAAAAACTATACCGTTGCATTTCATTTTTTTTAGTAAACGGAGACAATTACAAAACTTTTCTCATTAGCGTCGTTTACCATTGCGCAGGAAAAAAGTATTTTTATTCCTATATCATAAAAATAAATTTTATTAATAGTTTTTTTTCCTGTTTTCATAAATACAGGGTGTTATGATTTTCTGAAAAATATGTATTTCTAAATATCTTCAGAACGAATATTATGCATTAAAATTTTTGATGAACGTTTACCTTATATGGAACTGATATTTTATATATCCTAGTAAACAAACTTCATAAGAGGGCATTCAGAGTGAATAAAAATTACGTCCCAACTGAAACGTGTGCTCAAATATAAAACATACCAGTTACATTATCTTGGACAATTTTGACAAAAATTGTCATATCAAGTTAAATACTATTTTGCCTACACAAAATTTGGTTTTAATTTATTTGTTATTATTTGTTTACAAAATAGAGAAACGAGAACTTTAAGGACAAATACCGGGTGTCAGGAAAATTTAGAAGGTGGCAATCCTCAATTAGTTGTTTTTAAATTAATATTTTGCTTTAACAGTTTTCGCAGTTAAGCGATTTTTTAAAATTTGGGATGTTGTTGTATTATAATCTGTATTTATAAACGCATAAAAATAATACTATGAAAATATATAATCTTTATTCATTTAAAATAAAGAAACTGCAGTACTATTTCTTTGACAATATCGCCGATTCTAACGCCCCTCCACAACCCCCCCCCCCCACTTGATGAAATTTTCAATTGTGCTGTATTTTTGTTGAACTTTTCATCATATATTCATCAAGTTAAACTTTTTATAATTCCAGATAAAAGGATCAGTCAGTCAGTTCCAATTTGAAGTTTAGTTATGCTGTACCGGTCCATAATTGCCTTTGCCCTGATATCAAAATGGTATGGTTTATTATTATACGTGTTTTTTAATGTTTTACAATTAAGTAAAAATACTGGACTGGACTGAAATAGGTACCTACATGTCTACTATTTTTAAATAATTGTGTAAGTAAGTAATAGTTTTAGAACAGAAGCAACATAAATTAAATTTGGAAAATTAGATAAAAATTTCCTTTTTACTAAAACTTTTCCAAATGTATTTCAGAAATTCTATTTCAATTCATTTGAATTTAAAATTAGGTTTTTTTTAATTGATAATCTGAAATGTAAAATAATTTTAAAACGTTTCTGATGTTTTAAAAAAATTGGTAAACGGGATACTTGTCCCTTCAGTTATTTCACCTGTCATTAAAGTTGTTTTCTGCAGTCTTATAATATAATATGTACCTAATTATATCTCCTCCAATAAAATTTTTATCTCAGGAATTTTATTTTGTTATTATATTACCGTTTATAGTGTATAATACATGTGATTTAGTTTTATATTTACTTTTTCATAATAAAACAATTTTGCTCTAAATCGAATTACAACTAAAATTAATGGGGTTGTATCTAGTTAACATTTTGAAAAAGTGATAATATTTACATTTTATATTAATTATAGCTGTCATAAATTAACAAAATAAAGCTACTTTAGCCCACAAAACAGAGAAATTATTAATATGTACAGGTTGCATGTTGCATTTAGATGAGATTATTTATTTTAGAGCTTATATGGATATTATTTAGTGATTAGAATCTTTTTCCAGTCTTAAAATTTTGCCATTTTTTAACATATGTATTTTATAGAAAAGGTTTTCTCATAATTTTAATATTTCAACGTTTTTTACTCTCACATTTACCTAATCAGAAAATGGTCCGCTATTTTGAAAATATGCTATTTTACTGATACTGTAAATACTTAGTGCTAACTATAATTCTTTAAACAACAATGGTTTTTCTAACTCCTTGGTGAAGGAAGTTATGGCACTGTATTCGTTTGATGTGAAACATACTGTACATGTAGAGAGAGTTGTAATAACCTACAACTTTCAAGGGCATATACAACTCACAAAAATGATGAAGTAAAAATGCTTCGTTGAGGAGACAGAAAGCGTTGAGGTTCCGAAAAAAAATTATTTATTTTAGGGTTCTATTTATATACAGGGTGTTAATTAAGTATGTACAATAAATTCAGCAGACAATTATTTGAGTGATTATAAGACAAAAAGTTCATATAACCAAAAAATTGCTATTTCGTAAATATCTTAAACACCCTTTACCCAATTTTGTTGTAATTTGGCAGTGTTATTTGTAGTGTTACGGGGCTAATTTAACCCTAACTTGATTAGATTTGTTAAGCCCAGTGGCGTCCTGAACGGTACCTTAACGAATATTTTTAATAATGTTTCTGGTGTGGTTCAGGGATATGCAGTTAGGTGGATTTTATTTTTTCCTCCAAAAATTAATCAAGATACGAAAAACATTCAAGAGACAAAAAAGTTGTATTTTTAGTTGCTTAATCAAAAAATATATATATATAAAAATTACAAAAAGTCATTGGCGTGCACTTTTTTTGTCAAAAATATTCGTTAAGGTACCGCTCAGGACGCGACTGGAGTTAACAAATCTAATCAAGTTAGGGTTAAATTAACCTCTTAATACTACAAGTAACACTGCCAAATTACAACAAAATTGGATATAGGGTATTTAAGATATTTACGAATTAGCAATTTTTTTACAAAAGTTTAACACGCTGTATCTTCAAAATGAAGCATCTGCGGACCAATGTTTATATGAACTTTTTGTCTTAAAATAACTCAAATAATCGTCAGTAGAATTTATTGCGTATACTTAATTAACACCTACATAGTAGCAATATTTTCGGTTGAACGGCCAATACAAGACCAACTTGTTCAAATTTATCTAACATTTTCACAGTTGTTTCATTGGGGGCGTTCTTCCTACGGAAAATTCCGCGTAATTTGCGCATATTCTCAGCTACACACTCTCCGTATTTGTAATGAAATTTCACAATCTTCACTCGCTCATCCGTCATATACGCTCCAGTTTGTGACATGTGACCCTGCACAATGCTGCCAACTCTTCTGTGTTATTTTTGTGACACCCTATAGATACAATCGTATAAATTTATCAGTACAATAAAGGTCACAGGAAAAAATATAAATGTTTATTTCTAAATATGAAGTGTCAAATCTATTTGCATTTTATTTTGCCAGCTGCTATCGTATTTATGCAATAATTAACAGAATCCAAGAGTTTTAATGAATAAATACTTACCTTTAGGGGATCATGCTATGAAGTCAGCAACTTAACTTTTCCGAGCTCATTTCTTTTCGGGGCTGCAACGTCTGCATACCAGATCGAAGGGGCATGGAACGAATCTGGCAAAGGCGTAAGCAGATGGGATTACATAACACATTCCACACAAATAGTGGTTGATGGGAGCAATGGTGACGTTGCTTGCGACTCCTATCACAAATACGAAGATGATATTGCCATTCTAAAGGAGTTGGGTGTGGACTATTATAGATTTTCCATAGCGTGGACGAGGATTCTACCTTCTGGTTTGACTAATGAAATTAATCAAGATGGTGTGGATTATTATAACAGCCTGATCGATGGCCTAGTCGAGGCTGGGATACAACCCTGGGTAAATATGAGTCCGAAGTATCATATTAGAAAAATATATTCGCCCCCTGAACTATCGTCCATTGTTTTCCGGGCACCATTTATTATAATAATCTTTAATCTCTATATTGAATTTTAAAGCATTGATATTTAGCTGTAAGCTTTACATCCATGACAGACTAGTTAAATATTACGGCAATAAAGAACATTCTGAACACAATAGCAGAAAAAATTGACTATTTTTCCCACATATTTGGTATGATTTTGAAGGTAATTTGATCAAACATCCGTAATACTTTTCGGTGACTATTTTAGTGAAGAAATCATAACAGGCTCGACAACGTCTTGTTGTACAAACTGGGTAGGTTTAGTGAGTTTGAATTACTATTGCAACAGTTCATTCAATGTCGTGGATTTAGTCTCACAAATTTCAATAAATATTTGGTGGACATCATGGCTGACTTACAAGTGCATCATTTAATGTATAAAAATGACATTAAATTATTGTGCGAAATAAACACCATCCCCGTTTGTTATAGGTTACAGAATACAGTTGATGTTATTAGTCGGTGGTCTAATATCGTTACTGAAAGGAAAAATTGTGTTCTATTTGATTTAAACTATACAATATAACACTACGTAGACCTGATTGCATAAATAAATGCTTTATCGTTTACAAAACTATGACATAATTGTCATCTGCATTCAAGAATATGAGTTTAATCACAATATTCCAAAGATTTTTTTGACAATCCCATTGTTATGCATTACTCTTATTCATTCTAAATTAAAATATGCATTAGTAGCCCAATTTATTCTAATCAAATTGCAACTTTGGAAAGAGTACAGCGTAGGATTATGAAATTAACCGTACTTACTAAATAGTATATGTACCATCTTCCTCAGTGTTTTTCGCAAAATTTATTACTTGAACGTTTCAACATTCATGTCCTTTCTAAAAGAAGATATGTTTCTCCAACCACCTTTTTACATAAGGTTCTTCATAATATTTTGGATTGTCCAGGTGTTTTAAATAATATACATATTAATGTACCACAACTTTCAGCTAAAAACAATAACGTCTTTAGTTTACCCACAGCACACAGTAACATCCTTCTAGCATCAACGTTGTATAAGGTTATCTCCAAGTACAGTGGGGTAGAAAATAATACTAATATTTTTTGTTGTTAGGGTTATAGTATAAAAAAAATCATTACTTAAGTAATGTCTGCCGTATATTGTTTGTTACTTTTTTGTTTGTTTTCTTATTTGTAAGTTAGTTTTTTCTTTTATATTCAGTTCCTTTCTCTTTTCTTTTGTTTTCTTTTTGTTATATTTTAATGATAGACTGATATCCTGTTATTGGGCATCGCCTGTTGGATGTATATTTTTTAAAATAAATAAATAAATAACAGACCAATAATCTAAATCTAATAATACATATTTCTGTTATTGCCAGGTAACCATGTACCACTGGGACGTCCCACAGGCATTGAATTACATTGGGGATTTTAGTAACCCCACTTTTGTCGATTATGTGACCGATTATGCAGATCTACTGTTTTCATTATTTGGAGACAGAGTAAAGACTTGGATTACTTTTAACGAACCTATAACATTTTGTGCGCATTTTCCAATTGCATCTGCGGCGCTTGGTGTTCTTTTGCCAGTTGGAGTTTCAGAATATCTCTGTTCGCATAACGTTCTTAGGGCTCACGCCAGAATCTATCGTTTGTATCAGCTAAAATACAAATACAGCCAAGGGGGTAAGTAATGCTTTTTACATTTCTATAATAAAAAAAACATTGGAGCAACTGCGCGTGTTAGCCGCGAGCGCATATCTAATTGCGAGTTGTGGCATGCATTGTCGTCAAATCTCATATCTTTTCATGGTATTACACAGAAATCTAACAATGAAGACACATAAACGCACCGTACCGTCACTAAACAGAGAAATAAATAACTTACGCTACACAAAACACTACTAAATAAGATACCAGTTTAAATTTTACTTTAACTTCATAGAACACTACATTGCATTGTACAAATTCTATTTCGATTCCAGTAAAAACTAATACTTCATGCAGAAAATGTCGAAATTACTTACCGTATTAACTGAAATAAATATAAAATGAAGTTTACCTTAATTAAATCAATTGCTGAGATCATTGATACTAAGATTCACAAACTAAACACAGCGCTTTAGAAAAAGCTAGCACTTTTTGTTAAAAAATTAAAATGACTTGAAAATAACTCGGTCGGATCATCATAGCCGTCGTGTCGGCCTTTCGCTACAGCGTATCGTACGAAACCGGTAATAATGACAGTTATTGGCTTCGCCTTTGCTTCGTGTATGCGTGTGTTAATAATAATAATCTAATAATATCGAACGCGCCAAGGGGTAAAAAACGACCTTTCGCTGATAAAGTACGCAAATGTATTTATTTATATTTATTTGTTTACGACGAACACGTCTATGATTAGCCGACGAAACCCCCGAACTCTAGTAAGAGAGCAGATATAATTATTTAGAAACATGGTTCTTAAAACAATAGTTTTACTTACAATTGCTGACGTATTCCTATCCACGTACCGATATTAATTTAGTGCAAAAAAAATTAAAAACTCAAAATGTTTTCTTTAATATGCATATATTTTATTCTCGGTTTTTACTTATATATAGATAAATAATGAAAACTGAAAGATACATTTTTTTTAATCCTATGAAATGAAATCAAACTGTGTTTTTCGGTACCAAAAATCTGGAAAAAATATTACAACAAATATATGGTGACTAAAATAACATGTTGCAAAGTCATACAAAAGCAATCTGTTATAACTAAAATATTTTCCATTGCAGTTTCGCACTCTGCCGCTCCGTTAATTTCATACAGTTGGTTTAAACAAGTAACAAAAGGCAAACTGATAAGTGGGTACATAAATTGAGTTCGGAAAGTAGGTACTCAGTACGGCGTAGAGTTATGTGCAATTTAAAAAATGATTTATTATACGCGGGATTACCATTAAAAAACGTATTTCCAATTAAAGTTACTCACTATATTATATCAGCTTATCAAGTTGGCTAAACTTCTTCATCATTTTACCACAACTTGTACTTAGAATTGTATAAGTATCTACCTACATTTCCCTGTAATTTTGCAAATTATTTTTTTGCAGGTAGAATAAGCATTTCATTGAGTACAGAATATGCAGAACCAGCGTCTGATTCACCAGCTGACATTGAGGCAGCTCACAGAAAACTTCTTTTTGATGTACGTATATTTCATAACATATTTGTGATATCAAAATTAAATTAATTAAAGGAAACAAATGCAACCTAATAAAAACAAACAAAAGGAAGAAAACCGGACAGTTACTGTATTTTTGCAAAAATTGTCCAATTTGGAATTTATATTTTATGCTCATTAGAAACATAATCTATTCTGTGGATTACATTTCAGAGTGATACAAAGTGTTTTCTAAGTTTATGTCGTAACTGCAGAAAGTTTTTTCCTATTTATAATAAACCAATAAATTGTAGTAAGCGAAAAAGTGAAATCGCCTGATTTTTAAGATACAGTGTGTTAACTAAACGTTCCCGTCCACAAAAATTTCGAAATACGTGGCGAGAGGGACCTATAAGCAATTTATTTAAATAATAATATTTTAAAACCCCCTAGACGGACAACCAAAGAAAAACGAGGGTGGTTCTGAGTTGCTTCAAATACTAGTCAATGTACTATTGGCACATATACGTCGTCGCATACATCCACAAGTACCGAGTCTAGTACGTTGGGTACATATGTACAAAAATGGAACGCAAAAGAAAATGTAGAAAAGCGAACCATTTACGTCAATGAGAAAAATCCGAAAATGTATATTTACGTATTCCAAGTCATTCTATGTTTATAATAAATATGTGGTGTGAAAAATGCATTTCAACAAGACTTGATGTATATCTCTTATACACTCTCTATTTATACACTTAAATATATAGGTATATAATATAGGTAAAAGTTATAGCAAATATCTACACATCTCTCCGACTGCTGGCGACTTGATCGCTGAGTGGCCGGTATCGACCTTTTTAAGGGTCTTACAAATTCAGAATTAAATATGTCACTTATTATTAATCCTATTGACCTAATTTTTTTAAGATATATTAAGGTGGTTAAATACTATCAGAAAATGAAAGAAAAAGTTTAAAATTATATATCACTGAATGGGTCTATTATTTCAGAGACTACTTCGACTTGAATTTTGAAAATTTGGGATACCGGGTTTTCCGGCATGCCTTTCTCAACTAAAATAATGGCCGTCCACGTACCACTTCCGGTTATACCGGAAGTTGCCATCAACTTGCTTATTTTAAATGAAACACCCTTTATATTATTGCAATTTTGGATTCTACGTGTTATTTTAGGTGGACTTTTATAAAGTTTCCCTATTCCTAAAATTAACCGTTTTCCGAGATATTTATTTTTTTTTCCAAAAAATGGAGAGAAACATTGACTAGCTTCAAACCATGTGTATTTTATAGTAAGAAAGATAAAGCAACAATATTTATAGGGGGGATAGCTAGAGCCCTAAGCTTCCCATCCATACTTTCAAAGTGGCTTAATTGCATACAGGGTGCTAGAAATTTAATGACGAGTTTAGTTAGCTAGTTTTAATGGAACCCCCTGTATGTTTTTCTATATTCTGATACACAATTTTATTCTCTTTCGAACGGTATCAGCGTTCCCTATACCGTTAGCAAAACTTCAAAACAAACAACTAAACTGTCACCAATTATTTATTATTATTTATTCACAGACATTGCAATGGGATTCTAAGCAGAACATTTACAGTTTTTAATGAGACATATCCCAATTTTCCACCAATGAGCAGAATAAAGTTAAGAAGAATTCTAAAAAATCAACTTCATACATAGTAATACACAATTTTAATTATGTATGTTGACAATAATAATGAACTAAGATAAAAAAATTACTTAAAAAAGTCATAAATGTTCAATATGACCCCCATTAACAGCTAAGCAATTGTGAATTCTAGAGATAACACCATCAGTCACCGCTTTTGCTATTTCAGCTGCAGGCAATTCATGGAACGCTCTTCGTATTCGAGCAATCAAATCCTCTTTTGAAGCAACGGGTGTAGAATAAACTTTTTGCTTCATTACTACCCAGACATGAAAATCTAATGGAGTGAGGTCCGGAGACCTCACTGGCCAATTCCACGGTACTAGGCGTCTCATCCATCTATCTTCAAACATTTCAGTCAAGCTGTTGATCGATTTGATTGTGACAGTGAGGTGGAGCCCCGTCTAATTGATACCAACACTTCCTTAGTTGGTCTAAAGGTATATCATCTAGAAAATCTGCCACAACCGTTTGCAAAATATTGAAATATATGTCGGCATTTAAATTTTCTTCGTAGATATGGTAAGAAATTTGGTTATCTTTAAATAGACAAAAAACATTTACGCTAAATTTATTTTGAAAGTTTCTTTCTCGGATAACATGAGGATTTTCAGATGACCACAAATGTCTATGTCTATGTCTATTAAAAATACATTCTCTCGTAAATTTTGACTCGTCTGTCCATATAATATGTTGCAAAAATTGTGGATCTTCTTGGTATCGCACTAACATCGTTTCAAAAAATTGTACACGTTGTACGGCGTCACCCGAATGAAGAGCAGAATATAGTTTAAATTTGTATGGATGCATATCATTAGTTCTTAGCATCATGTGAATGGATGCTCGTGAAATGCCTAAATCATACTCTGCGGCACGAGTTGAGGATTCTGGATGAACACTAAAATAGGCTAGCACATTTATTACATTGTCTTCATTTGAAATTATTGGTTTTGGTAAAATTCTTTCTGCACAAATTCGACCATACTCTAGTTGATTCGCTAAAATTCTTCTTAACTTTTTTCTGCCCATTGGTGACAAATTTGGATATGTCTCATTAAAAACTGTACATGTTCCATTGCAACGTCCGTGAATGAATAATAAATTTAAAATATCAACATTTGAATATGTATTGTTTTCCATTTCTTATCAACACTAAATTAAACTTTCACTGCAAGAGACTAACAACAAATTGACAGTTTAGTTGTTTATTTTGAAGTTTTGCTAAAAGTTCCACAGCTACCCTCGCAAGAAAATACATGATTTTAGGTTATTACACAAAAAATAGTAGATAACTTAAAAACTAGAAGAGATAGATATAGGGAAGATACCGTTCGAAAGAGAATAAAATTGTGTATCAGAATATAGAAAAACATACAGGGTGTTCCGTTTAAAAAACCGACTTATGAAGGTTTGAAGTTAACTAAACTCGGCATTAAATTTCTAGCACCCTGTATGCAATTAAGCCACTTTGAAAGTGTGGATGGGAATCTTAGGGGTCTAGCTATACCCCCTATAAATAGTGTTACTTTTTCTTACTATAAAATACACATGGTTTGAAGCTAGTCATTGTTTCTCTCAATTTTTTTGAAAAAATTAAATATCTCGAAAACGGTTAATTTTAGGAAAATAACACGTATAATCCAAAATTGCAATAATATATAGGGTGTTCCATTTAAAATAAGCAAGTTGATGGCACCTTCCGGTATAACCAGAAATGGTACGTGGACGCCATTATTTCAGTTGATAAGGGCATGCCCGAAAACCCGGTATCCCAAATTTTCAAAATTCAAATTGAAGTAGTCTCTGAAATAATTATAATGGGCCGTCACCGTGAGACACCCTGTATAACCTTAACAAAACATATTTTCTGTATTTCAGTTTGGTTGGTATGCATATCCTTTGGTTTATGGAAATTATCCTAGGGTGATGATAGACACTGTTAGGAATCTCAGTTCAATACAAGGTTATCCCGTTTCGCGTTTGCCGATCTTCACACTTACAGAACGTTTGATGCTCAGAGGGGCGTACGATTTCATTGCTTTAAATCACTATACTACTTCATTGACTGCTGATGCCAGTTCAGAAATTAAAGAAGCTAGTTTTATGAACGACGCTTTAGTTGAACAGTATAAGGATCCAACATGGGGGAACTCTTCTGCGAGTTGGTTGACAGTAAGTAAATATAAAATAATGATTTACAATTTATGCCAAAATAGATTGGGAATATATGCGCCTTTGAAAATAGTCTTAAGTTGTTATATTTCAACTCCCTTCCCTTTACCTTTCACTCCCTTATCTGGATGACCGCAGTGCATTTATTAGTATATCTTAATTGTTTGCTGTTCCTCTGCCTTAATTTGAAAAATGTCTATTTATTCAGTATTATTTTGGTTTTCATAGTGCTCTTATTGCTGTGGTTTATTGTTTACTTACATAAATGTGTTTAAAATGGTCCATGACGGCAACGCAGAATTACTGGATATTATTATGTACCAAAATGCTTGCGCCTTTACTGTGGAGCAACAAGGGAGCGAAAGAATAAATTGTTACCGAATCGTTGAAGAGATGGACGTAAATAAAATCTGTTTTTGTCAAGATCAAGGAAATCTAAGCAGATCCAGGTGAGTTTTAACGTGACGTCGTTTTTCACAAAAGTGTCAATTAAAAAGGCTTTGGAAGAATTTCATCAAAGACTATTGGCAGAAGACAGCATAAGATAGGATGAGAATTTAGTAGACTTGACGAAGGTGTACAGGTACACCTTCTTCTGCTTTATTAGAGATCAGTTTCATTAACAAACTGAAGCTATACAGGGTCGGAAAGTCCTCATGGTTCATTGGCCGTTACGTGAGAGCGATAAAGTAAGGCATAGAAATCCGTGCGATAGAGAAAGATGGCTAAAATGAAGGCGTCTAATAGTCACCGCCCATTTCGCCCTTCCACAAATAAGAAGTCGATCTTATTTGTGGAAGGGCGAAATGGACTTTCCGACCCTGTAGATTCACCCTTGTCCCCAAGTTTGGCAAATATCTACATGGAGAACAAAGTCCTAGTGTGAGCAACTTTAAAGCGTTTAGATATATTTACGACACATTTATTACCTGTCTCCATGCACATAACAACTGGTGACTTCGAAAGCCATCTACTGTTCCCCTGGATTGGAACTACGTGTTTAAGAGCGAGAATGTTGTGATGTGAATACAATTGCCATAAGATACAAACCAACTACATGAGTGATTTACAAAAATTAGAACTTATCAACGAATGGCCTAAATCACTAATCTGGGTAATTTTGGTAATTACATCATCAATCTTTGCATTTTTGTGGATCTGATACCAATACCATATCTCAAAAGGAGAGTGATGGAGTAGAGGAGGCACCAAAGCAAGATAAAGATCATGAAATTTCAGTTTGTTATTATATTATACTACTCATGTCGAAATGGTAGGATTTAACCAAAGTATTCTTTATTCAAAAGTTGCTACTAACCAAGAAACATATTTTTTAATATTCATATCATTATTAGCTTTTTTATTTTTTATACTTTATTCTAAAGGTATTAAGCTCAAGCTTCATTTTCAATATTTTTTTTCTGAAAAATCTTATCGAATGAAGTCAAATACTGTTCGCTGATACCAAACATGTAGGCATGTAACTGATATTGCACTAAACTGCATTGACATTCTGTAAGATAATATATTTCTTAAATCCATATTCTTTATTAGTCACAGACTCACAAATATTTAGTATTCGTTAATAATATGCATATATTGCAATGGGATATAATTTTCCGCTATTAATTCCTTTTTCAATTTGTTCTAATTATAGCGATTTTCTTTCATCTAGGTTTATCCAGAAGGATTTAGAAAGTTATTAGTGCACATAAAGGAAACTTATAATGACCCAGAAATTGTTGTCACTGAAAATGGATTTGCAGATGAACCAGACGAATTTAATGATTTGGGAAGGATCAGTTATATCCAAGTAAGCTTATGATTAATGAGTACAAATTGAAGTTAATTCATTCTGAACTGTATCATTTAAGCAAAATAATTTTGCAACTTTATAGCACTACAATTTTTATTAATCATAGCTTCGTGTTTACAGTCTTATTTAAGCGAGTTGCTGAAAGCAGTTCACGAAGACGGAGTGAAGGTAACTGCATACACAGCATGGAGTCTGATGGATAATTTTGAGTGGTACAATGGATTTACGTGAGTTATTCATATTTACTGTTTCTTTTTTTAAATAAATAGGTATTCTATTTATTTCAGGGTCCGATTTGGATTGTACCATGTGGACTTTGACAGCTCGAACAAAACTAGAACTCCGAAAGATTCAGCCTCATATTACAGAAACGTCATTGAAACTAGATGCCTAGTCGATGTGTGTGGGGAATAACATTTGGACATTTGCTTTTTTTATTCTATATATGAAAATGTTGATAAACCTTTAGCCATCAGAAATGTTTATCTTCAATTTTCTGGATTTTATTTGTTTAAATTGTACATATAATAAAATACATTCTTGATCTTCACCATATTATAAGTAGTATAGACTATTAAAGTTGTTTAACAGGTGGCGACATACAAGGTGGCCAAATGAAAACGAAATAGAGCCATTTTCAGAAACTACTTCAAGATTGTAGAAAAACGCTCAGATCCGTCGATTTTAGATTAAGGGGGGACATTCTGGGTGCGTTTGTCTGAGCGTTTTTCTACAATCTTGACGCAGTTCCTGAAAATGGCTCTGTTTCGTTTTCATTTGGCCACCCTGTATAATAAAAATTACCAGTCTTATCCATTTCCTATTACAAGTTGACGACAAGTATGTTGGGAAATCTGAAAATAAATAGTCAAAAGGGCGGTTCTTGACTTTTATACTGGGGACGACGGAAAAATTTAGATACAAAGTATTGAAAAAAAAATCAAATATAATTGGGTAGGTAGTTTTATTTTAAGTAGGTACTATTGAAATATAAGGAAAATGTACTCTTCTGCTATTGTTTCAATTACTATTAGAGTTTGGTATTTCTCGCATCATTGATTTTTGCAAGTGCTCCAATCAATTTAAATATCTACATTTTTTTTAAAAACGCACATGATCACCGCTGTAAACACTTTACAGATGTAGAGGCGAGTTACGAGGGGCTCACGTATTCAGAGTTCTGCAAACGAATTTTACGAATCGAGTTAAATTGACTGCACATTACGAATTTAACATTTATTTTTCAATGTGTTTCATAGGGCTAATCTATTTAATTATGTAAATAACATTGTGAAATAAATTTTAAATTTATTTTTTTTACTATGAAAATTTCAAGGAGGGGCGGCGCCCCAGGGTCACCCGCACCATCCATCCCTGCATTAGTCGAAAAATTCTTAATTCAAAGCTCTTACTCTTCGGTATTATCTACCTATTTGGTATAAATTACTGTCTAATTGATTTTATACATAAACAAATTTTATAACAAAATACTAAAAGAACTAGGTTTTCATCCTGTTTTTTCTTTTTACAGGAAGAATTACCTAAGTTCACTTTATCATTTCACTTTGAGGTAAATCATTTATAAATTATAATTATTAATGTTGAAATAATTCGGTTGACATTTCCATGCTTATAAAGTAAATGGTACTGAATAGACGTTGTTTTAACGTTCCATCTAAAATGTACTTTTTAAGCGACTACTGCCATCTTCGGATCAGTTCTCACATTAGATAATTTCAAATACAGGGATCTCTGTTGAGTTGCTTCATCTCGCTCACAGATGACGCAAATAGCAAAAAATCATAATATAGCACTCGCATCCTTACAATTCTTATTGAAATATGAATTTTTAAATTCAATCTGTTATAATTTTAATCTTAGATGACTTTAGAATACACACTTTTCAATAAATTTATTTAAATCTTCTGTGAAACTTGATAAACAATAATTATGGATTAAAGAGAATTATTTGCTAGAACGAATTATAACAAATCTGAAATATTTATTAAAAATGTCTCTTTTCCGCACATAAAAGTGCCGCGATATAGGTCATATAATTTTTGATAAATTACTCTAAAACCATTAACGATATAGACGTCAAGCTAAGTACAGTTCATTTATAGTACCTTTCATAATATAAAAGTTGAGCTCAAAATAAATTCAATTTCCACAAATTGACACAGACATGACTTTCGTTGTTAAGATATTAAAGTAAAATAATTGATTAAAGTAATGGCTTTTCGATTTTTATAAGATATAGTATATTCTATAGGAAGGTTCAAGACTAAACATTATTATTTAGAACTGTTCACTTTAAACCTTAAGAGATTATCTTTAATGTCAAATAACTTATTTTGGTAGTTAAGACCTGATATATCTCTTAAATTCGACGCCACTGTTGTTTTATTAAAATTTTAGGGAAGGTATGACATCAGATGTATGATATGAGATAACTCAACTGTAACAAGTTTCAAATTTATATTTTCAATGATTCTTGAAAAACTGAGGCGCTGTGCTGTCTTACAATCTTTACCAAGGATCGTAGATGGAAAAAATGTTACTCTTCGCTCTAACGAGTGGAAACAATGTAACGTTAAAATTTTAGTCGTAGTATAGTTCTGAATAATCCTAGAGTAAACCGCTCAAAGTCAAACAACTTCTAGTAGTATACAACCAAATATACATAAAATTCACATTTCTTTCTTTTGGAGATATTTAAATAAATTTGAGTAATTTTATCATGTTAAATGTTAATCAGTATATAATTATTATTATTTAAAATTAAGCAGTTAAAATTAAATAATCCTGTTTGTCAAAATTGTTTAACTTATGTTATTCCTGTGAAAAATTATCGATGTAGTCCCGAATATTCTAGAACAGCGTTTTTGCGGCTATTCAAACATAAAAACCGTTCGTATCGAGATACTGATATTCTTAGAAAGGGAGTTGGCTATTAAAGTGTGAAGCAGGTGAACTGTGACAATTTTCGACGATAGTAACATTTTCAAAGTGTTCCTTTGGGATATATGACAAATTGCATTATAACTGTGACCGTATTGGTGGGAACCTGTGCTAACGGCTCATAGTTTCGGCTGCTTTGCTGGATTTAAGGACATCTGCCCACATTTTCGGCCCCCCCAGATAAATTATACAAGCTATTATATGTATATAGCTCACTACCAAGCCACCCTCCAACCACGTAAGTCATTATTTGTTGTTTTCCGCGATCGACTAGATCTTAACACGGGTGTAAATCTCGATTTTAGGGCTTTTTAGCACATGGTGCATATTCTGGTGCATTGTGCATCCTTTCTACCTGTCAGGGCTGCCTCCAATAGTTGCGGCAGGAAAGTGAATACTGGCTGAGTGGCTTACGAATCGTACGACTCGGGAATCGGGGAAAATTGGGAGCTGTTGCAGTATACCGGCTGTCCCATCAAACTGCTCCGCCATTTTGCTGTACCCCGACGTTGACCATCCACAGATAAGCTGTAGTTTTAGTTTTTTTTTTTTTCCCTTTAATTATATTGGATTTATTATCCCAACTCTTCTAAATCTATACCTATATAAATACGTGTTATTTTGGGTCTGATGCGTGATAATTCATACCAATGAAGATATTTAGCGTAATTTTGTATTGATACACGTCTCTTATCGTTTCTTATACCTATATATGTATGTGAACATATAGTTTTGTCTTGTATGTTTTTTTGTACAACTGTTTTTTTTATATATAAGTAAATTACAAAAATTATTATCATCTATTTATAATATTTATAATATAATATTTTTTTTTGTGCGCCACCCGTGATCACGAGCGGTTAAATTTATAATTATAATTAGTGTCATTTGGTTGAATCTTCACACAAGTATATTTACGGTTTCTATATTTTTCATTGTTGAAACTGAGATCTAATTCTGATACATACAAACGTGTTATTAAATTTATATTTTTGAATATTTTAATAGTTGTTTTTTTTCTGGTTTTGGCATAAGCGTCCGGGTAAGTTTTTTTAAACTTAAAATTTTGTAACCGGATTTTAAGTGACTTGAGAAACGTGGGTATTTAATAGGTTACTGGCGCCCTGAACTTTACAGTTCTAAATACCGCACGACCAGCTCCGACTGTGTGCTAGCCGACGTTTCTGCCACAACATCTTCCGGATGCGAATCCAACGAGAAGGTGGCAACAACCCTAAAAGTTTGCCGTAGTTGTGCTACATACTGAAAATTGAGCAATCAGTCTACTATTCGAATCTGGGGCCATCAAATGCTCAGTTAGTTAGATCTTGAGGTCAAAAGTTTGCAGGCGATAGGCAATAGACTCTTTTAGTGTGACGTCACATATTTATTTATTTATTTTTTTATTTTTATTTTATTAACTACACCTACTCAACGGGATAAACCCAGTTACAGAGCAGGGAAAAATTACATAAGAAAATGAACACAATAAATACATATACATATACTATAAAGCAAGAAATCACAGAGTAGATCACAAACAATATTTCACAAACAGAAACACTAAAGAGAACATCAAAATAATTCTTTAATAATAGAGATTCTAGTGTTAAAGATATCTATATTGTCCTGCACAGCTGTCAAATTTCTACACATAACTTATAATAGAGAATATTGTAGTATATTAGTACTAGCTGTTTTCAAATAAAAAGTTTCATTTTTTAATATTATTAACGTTTTAACGTTTTATAATTTATTATGTTAAATAATGCACAGTTTTAGTATTTCAATTTATTATTCAATATGCAGTTGCGTATAACCAAAATTTACATGTAAACTTTAGTGTAAATATAAACTTTGATGTAACCTAGGTAGGTACTTATTGTTTTTGAGAAAGTAATATGTTTTTTACCTGTTTAAAATGCCAGCACGAGTAAAACAGCGTTCATCCGTCCAGAGCGCTTTGTTTTAAAAATAAAAATAAAGATAGCGTCTGCTGCACTTCGATTTAGCAACCAACAGCAAAATTCAAGACGAATGGGGAAATCAGCTGGTTCTAAAGTTTGAACTTTTTGAAAATGGTACGGTTGAGTGATTTCTCGCGCAATATCCGCCAAACTTTGGTTTGTGATATCTCCAACCGCCTTGAAATTGTTCTTGTGGAAATAGAAGGCTGCTCCTCGACTAAATTTAAAACAGCCTCTATCACATTTAAGTCATTTTGTCGATGTCCTGCACGTTCGCTGCGCGGTATGGTATGATAGATGCAGTTGGAAAAATGCGGGAGATATGGAAGGTGGTAGATTAGAATAAACGCTTTAAATTGTTAATGGTTTTGTAACTGTGTGTAGTGTATTTTGTATATTCGGGTATTTAGTAGTGTGCCGACTTTTTTATTTAATAAAATACGTTGTGCCTACAAACAGGTAACTACCTCTGCTTTATTTATTTTCTTTTAACGAAAGTTGACTTCGAGAAGTCAGGCTTGTTAAAACATTCTGCAAGTTCTGCATTCTGCAAGTTAATACAATTGTTAAAATTATTGATAATAAAATACAGCATGCTCCTTTATTTACTTGAATACGTTTAACAGTAAATGT